CGGACCATTGCCAAGATCGAAGCATGGTTACCAGATGATGCTGGTGCTGATAGATAGGTTTTCAAAGTGGACAGAATTGGTGGCACTGCGAACAGCAACGGCAGAAACACTTCAAAAGACGTTCCGAATAAGAATCATCGCTAGGTTCGGAGCGCCAAAGGTGGTAATAACGGACAATGGACTAAAGTTTGCCAGCCAAGAAATTCCTCAGCGAAATGGGCATTAAGATACAATTCACAGCGCCATATACACCGCAGGAAAATCCGACAGAAAGAGCAAACCGAACCGTTAAAACCATGATAGCTCAGTTTACGGGACAGAACAAGTGGAATTGGGACGAGAAGTGGGCGGAGATTATGCTAGCGGTAAATTCAAGTACGTCGGAATCAACAGGGTACGAGAGTTTCGGCTGCCCAGCGCCCTGTACGACAGGGAAACCATCTGCCCAGGAAAGCAGACGGAATCGCTTGAAGATAAGGCCAATAAGATATAGGAGATCTTCGAAATTCAGCACCGGAACATTGAGAAAGCTGCTCAGGACCAAGCCAGGCATTACAATTTACGAGGGAGGCAGTAGAATCCAACAATAGGGGACACGGTCTGGGCGAAGAAGCACCATTTGTTGAAGGCAGCCGAGGATTTCGCTGCAAAGTTAGCGCCGAGATATGACGGACCGCATACGGTGATAGACCACGTCTCGCCAGTCATTTGTAGAATCCGCCACAAGGAAACACAAAAGGAACGAACCGTCTACGTCAGTGAGCTTAAACAACAAACACAAGAACTCGGTACAGACAAACAAGGATAACACGAGCATACAACGACTATAGCGTCGGGCAGTTACCAGAGTCTTTATAGAGCGCAGGACAACACGAGCAAGCAACGACAAAAAAACGGGCTATAACGTCGGGCATACACCAGAGTCTTTATAGTATGCAGGACACAAGGATGCAGAGTGACCCAGACAACGAGGCAAACAAATTCTTCGTCAAGCATGAAGCCAGAGTCATCCGTTGATACGCCGCGTAGAATAAGGTGATGCACAGGACAAGAAACTGAAAAGACCGCAGGCCAACAACAATCCGTAGCGTCGGCAGACTCTTTGTTTTCCCGAGGAAAGAGGGGAGACGGTACAGCTCGAGAGCTTTACCGTAGCATGCCAAGCCGGGAAACACGAAAATGACGCGCACACAATGAAAAAAAACACACACACACATAAAATGCACTACAGCTGAGCCGGCAATCTGAAATGAGAGTTATACATGAAAACCGGGTGTCGGAGGAGATCTATTGTTATAATTATAAGTTTTGAATTTGAATTTAACGTAACCGAAATTATGTAGCAACCACACACGGTTGCATTTAACATTTTACCAACACTGCGCCACGCATAACATTCTGTAAACTTAAGCCATATTTAATGTAAGCGCGGAAGCGCAGCATACTTTGCTTTTGTCGATTACGCTAACAATACAATTTTTACAACTTGAAGATTAATAAAACACATGTATTGAGAAAATACGCATCAGAACACAACACGAGACTCAGAGCATTATCAATCGCTCATGGAAGACGGAAAGTAGCAAGTTAGCTGCTACACCGGGTTCGCAGGGAAACTAACCACTTGCAAACTAAGTGCAGAACAGGGTCATTGACCCCGGCCCCAAGGGAAGAAAAGGTCAATAAATAAACAACAAATCGATAGGAAATTGCTCTTACCATATCATTGTGCGAAGTCACTATAAACAAGGGATGTGGGCGCTTCAAAATCTGGAAGGAATATCAGCGCTGTAGAACTCAAGAAGGAGCTGTGAGAAGAACGAGTCGGCTAGAAGGATACAAGTTAGAACAAGTACGAGGAGAAGAGTATACCAAGGCATAGAGAACAGCGTGTTTTTTTTTTCGTTCCCGAAGTAAGGGGAGAATGTGAGGAGTTGAATAACTCCCCACAAGTTGGTTAGCAAGCAGAGTAAGCGTATGCAAGCAGTAGCCTACCAGTTACCAATTACGCGGCGAATTCGCCCGTAGTTACGGAAGTGCGGCGAGATAGAGTGGTGCCCTGAGCACCAGACAAGGATAGGGAGAGCCCGAGAGGGACAGCAATAAAAGAGAGTAGCGAATGACCGTAGGCAGAAGGAAGACGTGGAGACGTTCAACTTGGAAGGAACCGATGACGGATTTCCCTATTGTCAACAAGTCCGTGTCAAGTCGGCGAATAAAAGCACTTCGTATATTCCCAATCTTTCTGCGCCCTTTCAATAGGGCGGTGACGTTTATATACATTTGGTGGGACGAACACTTACATCTTCTGAGCTAGCCGCACGACATTCGTAGCGAGCGGATAAACCATGAAAATCAGTTCGTTACACTAATTAAGCTATTTTCCAATAGTTCATCGTTCTTCAAAACTCTAAGATAGCAATCATAACTTTCTTCCGGGAAACAGACAGCTGCATTATATGAACAACATTGGCCAGTTCTGGGATGTCTGATTCATCCGGTAGTTGAGCTTGGGATAAACGGTCTGCAACTAACATGTAACTTCCAGGTTTACAGCATTCGCTGTAAACGCATTGTTATTGAGTCAATGTCACGGCTTACTTAGACTTCCAGAGCCGTGTGATCACTTTCTACAAAAAATTCTCTACCATAGATATAATAGTGAAACCTTTAACACGCAAAAACGATTGCTAAAAGCTCTTTTTAAATTTGAGCCCATTTTTGTTCACTCTTTGTTATCGTGACGCAAAACTGATTGGACGTCCGTTTTGTAGAATAACACAACCGATACCGTTTTGGAGGCTTAAATGACAACAGGCTTAGCTCCTGTCATAAACGGCTAAAACCGGACCACTTGCTATAGTTTTAAGCAAGTCATTGAGTTTGTTTAAATGTTATGCAGTCCACTCAATCGAAGTATCATTCCTAGTTGATTTCTAAGGCTTACAGTTCTAGAAGATAAGTCTAGGATAAATTTAGCTAAAAACTTAAAAAGTCAAAGAATGCGTATCATTCTTGCTTTGTCTTCTGGGATTTTAATATTTTGAATGGCTTCTCTTCCGATAAAATATGACCCATAAATTCAATTAGTTTTTTCCAATATTGAACTTTGTCCACATCAATCTGATTGCTTTTGTAGTTATTAATATCCACTATATCGTTTGTTGCTGATGTTGTTGTTGTTATTCACTCGTCTTTTCCTGCTGTTGTACTTGTTGTTTTCCATTCTTCCCTTCTTTTGCTTGCAGTACTTGAAAATGTCAAATTTTTCCGCAATAGTAGCATGCCAATTCCTTCGCACGGCACTCGGACAAATGATGATTATAGCAGCGACGGATTCAAGGAGTTTAAGCTGCAACCTTTGTCGTGTATGCCAATTATGAAGCGATCTTACAGCATACGCCACAATCACATTTGTAGTCACATAACTCTCACTGCTTGCCGAGTTGCGTCTCAAACTCTATGAAATGCTATCGCTCAGTTTGAATTATGTTGTTGAACTTGTAGAATTCCATTGTGATGTTTCGAAATGGGAGCCCGTAGTCATCAAATGCCTTTAGTACGTCCTTCAGTGTTAACGGCTAGCAACCGCGGCAGAGGAAGACGGGTCTGAAGATCTTACCATGGTGTCCACCATGCAATGTGCAGTTCCATCGCTGGGAAACATTGTGCTAACCAGCCAACCATAGGAATGTGGCGATATGGCGTTATGGAACTGCATCTTTCCCGGAGGATAGTGCCGGCTAACCACGGAGTGCAAGAGCAGAGTACCCCCTATGCCCTGGAGTCCGAACAATCGATTCCGACTCATCGGAGGTCTCACGTCTCTAACTTGACGTTTACCATCAATATCGCAAATCAAAACAAAACAAAGGTTTATTTACATTAAAAAAACTGACAATTGGACAAAATTGGTGGCTTTGGTGTCCTTGCCACAACGCACCCACCCTTCCATCCTGGTGGATTATTTTTTTTTCGATTGTTCCTATGGGAGCTATATGCTATAGTCGTCCCGCTCCGACTTATATACTACCTGCAATAGAAAGACAACTTTTGTGAAAGTTTCATGCAGATAGCTTTAAAACTAAGAGACTAGTTTGCGTAGAAACGGACGGACATATGTAGCTAGATCGACTAGTGATGCTGATCAAGAATAAATATACTTTATAAGGTCGGAAACGTCTCCTTCACTGCGTTGCAAATTTCTGACTGAAATTATAATACCCTCTACTAGGGTATAAAAATTGTTTTTAGGTCGATGGTATTGTTATTATCGATTGCTTAGACTACAGGTTTATTACAGCTCTATCCAGGAACCGGAGGAAGGAGGGCCTAGGTCTACTGTAACCGTCTCCTTAAGAAAACACATACATTCGATACATGTTTAGTATTATACAATATTGACACTTATTATCCAATTAAGAGAATACTATATTCTCACTACTTTTACACATCCACATTCCGATTTCAGCTGATCTGAACAGCTGTGGCTCGTCAAAACATGAAAAAAGTCAACAGGTCACCTATGTTTATGTTTTGATGAGTCAATCTTGGTTTATGTTTTGATGCACTACAGATCAGCTGAAATTGGAAGGTTGGTGTGCTCTGTGGAAACTGGAGTTTCACTTTTTCAAAAATCCCAACGGTTTTTCAGGAATGGACTGTGTGGAAAAGGGCATTAGCGTGTATATTGGCACGACCTCTTTAAGGGGAGAAATTGGCAAAATTGTGGAGACCCGATATTTTAAATGCATATATAAAATACATGCAGAGTTCTAATATTCTCATATCACATTTATATTGTTAGATATTTTAATTCTTAATATATTTGCATTTAGATATATTACAAATTAAAAATAGCCCTCGTGTTTCAATTTCAGTTGTTCTCCCAATCTCCGCTAAGTCACCGACGCTACTTTGACGCACATACAAAACAAATATTCATTTTTAGAAATTTTCGATTAATCGATAAAAACCATGAGTAGTGTAATATTTGGAAAAGAGTATTTGATAACTTTGAGTTTTACCCGGAGTTTTTGTTTACAGATAAAATTAAAAACGATTTTGATATGGCTGATTGGGCTAAAAAAGCGGAAGACCAGGAAGTATCCAAGCTGGTATTAAGTATTTCAATTAAAATATTTGTATAAAATAATGCGGATTTAGTTATTTCAGGTCGATCAACTTAACATAGAATCTGATATTGCCTTTGCCCTGGAAAATAAATGTTCAAATTATGAATTAGCGGTTGCTAAAATTGTTAACGAAAATGAGCCTGATGTCCCAGAGTAAGTTTTGATTGTCATGAAATAATTTTCTAAATCCAACCGAATTCTGTCGTCCATTTCTTCGTTCAGAACTTAACGAAACGATTTGATTCCAAAAAATGCGACATAATACCCACACAATTATCAATAATGTTCTGAAACTTCTCACAAAAAAAATTTAAAAAATGATTTGTGAAAAAGGCTGCAGGCCATTGATGATTACGTTGGGAGGGTAACTGCCCTTCATTCACTGCTGGCTTAAAGACTCAGTCAGTGTTCAAATGATAAATTGTTTAACGGCGGTTGCCGGAGTTTGTTTTATGAGCGATGTGCTCTTTATTGAATCTAAATCAGAAGTGAACTTAAAGCTAACAAAAAATGAAATTGAGTGCTTGCCGGCTATGCACGATCATCCAAATGCCGCGTCAGCGGTTTTGGCAGCTGCTGGGCTTCGGACATTCGGTCGTCGCCTTCGTCCGGTTAGCTACTTAGTTAACTACTCCCCCCTCAAGATTGAGGCCGCCCTCGGTCGACCCTATTTCAGCAATCACCCTTCTTAGTTGGACCGCAGATCTTAGGTTAGGCCGACACCAATCAACGCGCAACATATTACTTCTGTAATTAGCGCTACCATGTGTGCCTGATTGGTGTTGATATTATTTCCGAACTTCTGAATGTATTCTAGGTTACGTTCACTCAAGCGGTGAAGGTAGGGGAGGCTCAGAGCATTTTGATTGATGGTGATGTTCAGTGAGGGTAAGCTTGCCACCCCTGGAGTCCTCTTTTGGGCGGAGTTTTGGCTCAAAACCAGGGTTTCGTTTACTGTGACGCGCTCATTAAACGTGACGAGATGCGTCCCGTGTATCCAGACGCTTGTTACGTTGTCTACTCGTACTTGCGCTGATTGATTATTGATGATAATAATTGCCTCATCGACATAAGTGATCGAATGTAAATCACTTGGTTGGGTCTCGCAGTGCGCAACTCCACCTGCGTGGAGCTCTCGGGCGCATGTGGTCTCCGCTGAAAGTTGGCAGAAAGTGTCTCCTGGTGGTGTGGAGCAATTCTGGATCGCATACATTTCCCCATTGCATTCTTCTTACATGCTAATTTAATTTTTGGGAATTTAATGATGACTGGAGACTGGAGAATTTTCACGGATGCTACGGACAAAATATCTTTTATAGGAGTGTCGGTGGGCTTCTCCATCCAAAAACTTTCTAGGTCTGCGTGATCTAATATGTTTGGGCGACTATGTTTACTTTAGCAAGCGAGATTGCCATCATTAAATTTTGAAGTTCCATTGTTAACATTCGATTTCTGGAGAGCAATGATTCATATAAATGGCCAGTGTCCACTTGTGAACCCTTTCCCACTTTCAGGATTTGATTTACGATTGACGTTAATTCATTAATTTGACTTTGTATTCTGGTATTTATTTCTATTTGTATATTTTTTGAATTGATTGTGTTTCTGTAAATTTAATTATTTCTAAGACTTTTAACATTGATCCTAAAAAGTCTAAACTCCTGGCTACCCTGTGGTGCACGCCTAACAAGTAGAGCAGGTCGCGGAGGTGAGCTGTATCCACATTCAAAAGCTTTCTCATGTGTGACTGGGGGAACATATCCCTCAAATTTTCTGTTTCTTCTACTACGCGCCTGTACTCTGTAAGGTTCGCTGCATGTCTAATGGATGCAAAGTCCTCCCATACTGGTATTTGACCGTCAATAATGGGGATGTATGTACTTGACTTCTAAAGATTCGGTGATGTCGACGCCATGGTTAAGGAGAAGAGGATTGGGATGATTTTGAACCTGTGGAATGAATTTGGAGCTATATTTTTGTTCATGACAAGGTTGTCCACCACCAACGGAACCTATCTTAACCTTAAAAATGTATTCTATCACCTATGCTTACAGCTAGTAAAAATTTGTGCTAAGTGGCAAAAAAGGAAAAAATGAAGGTAAAAAACTTTTTTTATTTGATGTTGTCTTTGTGGACCACCCTCCCCTTGATGAGGACCGTGGTCCCCATGTCCGCTTCTACAGCTTTCTTCTGGTGTGAGTTTATTGCCAAGTCTTCGGTTTGACTTAACCAAGACTTTCCGCCGACCTCGAATACCCTGTTTTGTCGGGAGACATTTTCCCTGGCCCTAAGTGTGTCCTGGGCCCTTATGATCCTATTTTATATTTCCGTTTGCGGATCGTCCGGATGCACCTCCACTACGTCGACTGGTCGTTCGTTGATGACCGAATGAATCGATTTGTTATATTTGGTGGCGGCCAACAAAATTTCTTCCACAGTATCAGTTAAACCTTTGTCGATTTTCAAACAACGTGCGAGTTCCGACCGGGTGCTGTGGAAGCACTTCACTTGTCCGTTTGAGAGTCTATGGAGGGGTGGTGCGTTTGCAATGCTTACACCAAAATGGTTCTCGAGCATAGTTGAGATTGTGTGCGACTTTAATGATGGTTCATTATCGCAATAGACTACCTTAGGCCTAGGGAAAAAATTCATAAGTTGTAATATGGCCGGTTTAAGGTTCTCAATTGTCCTTGACATGCTGCACCACAGCGAATTTTGAAAATTTGTCTACGCAGGTGAGCAAGTATTTTTTAGCCGTACAGAATTTGTCAATATGAAGCATTTCCCCTACGTAAGGAGGCGTCTCGCTGAGCTCATGTTTTTTTGGATGCCTGTCGTATTTGGCTTTTGCACAGGTCTTTCAATTTCCTACGATCTCGGCAGCTAATTTGGCCATTTTTGGGAAGTAGTACTCGGAGAGTACCTGCTGTATTGTAATAGGGTGTCCTTCTTGGGACCAATTCCATAAGCCGAGTCATCCGTCGTTAGATCAAATGCCTTCTTATAATCAGGGTATCTCAGCATCACGTCTTCAGATGCCAAGATATTTCGCAGCTTCTGAAACGCTTTTTGCTGTGCTTCAGAGAACTGAACTGGAGTTTTCCGTGACCTGTGTCTACTAACAGTTCCATTTTCTCCTTTTAGGATATCAGAAAAAGGTCTCGCTATAGCTGCAAATCTCTAATAGTTCGCAGACTTTGGTTCCGGAAAGTCTTTAATGGCCCTGACCTTTTGTGCATCAGTTGTTGCGCCATCACAGTTTACTATGAAACCTAAAAAAATCCAAATTTTTTGAAGAAGCGCGGTTTTTCTACTGACACCCTCATGATTGCTTCGTAAAGGTTCTTTAGAAACTAATCTACATGTGTGACGTGGGATTGTGCATTTTCTGAAAAGATGATCACATCATCCACATATACGTAGCAAAATTTGCCGATTTTTTCTCGCAAAATATCGTTGATTGTCCTCTGAAATATACTGGCCGCATTTTTCAGACCAAAAGGGAGCCTTCGAAATTCATATCTTCCCCCGTGATAACCCCACTTAAGATCCAACGTTGTGAAATATTTGGGCTTGCCTAAGTTCCCAAATATCATAGAGATATTTGACATGGGGTACTTGTCTTATATTGTTTTTTCGTTAAGTTTGCGAAAGTCAATTACTAGTCGCATGTTCTTGTTGCCCTCTTCATCAGTTCCCTTTTTGTCTACTACCCATATTGGGTTGTTGTATGGAGACGTTGATTTTTGGATTATGCCGTTACTTAACAGATTTTGTATTTCTTTGTTGACAAAGTCGGCAGCCCCCATAGGGTAAGGATAAAATTTTTGCATAAATGGGGTCTTCGTTTTCTGTCCTAATTGTAGCTACCACCGATGTGTTATAGGGTAGTGCTTCATCTGGATTAGCAAAAGCGTTTTTTCTATCCATAAGCATTTTTAAAAACGCGCCTTTTATAAAGGGCGGTGCATACGCATGAAAGAAGTTTTCTTTTTTGGAATACGTTCTCTAACTTCCGACTAAGTCGTCACAAATTACTCACACAAAGAATTGCGAGCATGCTCCATTATGTGTGTCGACTACTGCTCCATAGATAGCGCCATGCCGACCACTGAAAGCACACGCCTGTTATAATGCAGTCTTGGTTCATCAAGACCCGTTACAAGTGTTGATTCCTCCAGGTCATTTAAAGTCTGTATTTCAAAAAACGTTTAAAAATGTACAATTCTGATCCGAACACATTAAAAAAAAGGTTATAACATAACGAAGTGTGGTAACAAATACTCAGAAAAACAAAATCAAATAGAACTAATCAATTTTAACAGTAATCAAAATGGTATAATTTAAATTGGTAATCCATGTTCTGAATTTGTTAATTTGGGAGAAACAACATCTGGCCTTTCATATACCATTTTAGAGGGTAATATAATTTCAGTCAAAAGTTTGCAACGCATATAAATGTATTCTGATCAGCATTACTACAAGAGTCGATTGAGCCTTATCTGTCTGTTCGTCGTAATCGGCACGCTGCTTTGAGTTGTTAAGTAACAAGACTGATTTGATTGTGCCGATGACAAACAATTTAATAAAAAAAAGTAATTTTTTGGTAAAATACATTATAGTTGTCACAAAATGTGTTATCAGAAGTTTTTGGAGTCACGTTAATTTGACCTCTTCAAAAGGTGTTTTTGATTGATAGTATTAAACGTTGATGCACTATAAACAGTACAAACAAGGGGCCCAACGAAACCAAGCACGAGCTTGTTACGCGCGGGCCCTATTAGCATAGTGGGCAGTTATGGAGTTCGCGAGGAAAACACAAATAACCTAATATAGACCCATTTGCTAAAAAAACTAAAACTAAGTACGTTGCAAATATGTTTAAACTGTAGTTTTTAGGACAGGGATAGAGGTTGAAATGCAAATTTGATTATATAGATTATAATAATTATTACTAAGAACACGAAAGGGTTCATGCAGGCCATATTTAAGGTACATATGTACGGCAATCATAGCTTAGAATCAGTTCAAACCACGAAGGGGAAAAAGAAATATTTTTATAGCGGCTCAATATGACCAATGTGGGCTTGATATTGGGGACTCCAAACGGGAGCCCAATATTCTAAATTATTATTCAGTATTCTAAATAGCCT